ACACACACAAATTTAAACATTTATAGTACCTCTGGAACAATCATACAACACAGTTTTGCAACTTTAAAAATCGTCCAGATTTTTCTTTCCCACTCTGAATGCTCCCAAAGTAACTTGCCCCATGGCAGGAATGAGAGCACATTGAGAAATGCACATCACTTCATAGGCCTGATTGTGCTGAGAGCAGAGTATTTGAGATGCAGAAGCTTTTTAAGTCACTAGGGTAACATTTATGCATGAGAAGGGTTACCGGGGTAATTTACACCACTTTATCAAAGTAAAATGTTCCTCAGTGATTCTTATGAGCATGTAATAGAGATGCACTCTATGGCATTTTGTAAAACTTGACTCAGCTGGGTAAAAAAAATCAGTCTGAGTTTAAAAAAAAAAAAGAACAGAGGTAGAGTAATTTTTAAAAGAAATATTTGTATATTTCAAATATATGCAACAGTATAACCTAATTGCTAACTATGTGTTTCTGAATAAGAGTCTTGTTTTACTTATTTTGCATAATTGATTCTAAAATTCCTTTTTAGTTAGTAATATCATTATTTAAATGTCACTTATAGATATGCATAGTGTTCTCACTATGTTTCCACAAACTTAGAAGGTCTCTTCTCTCATAGATCTTAGAGTCCAGTTTAAGAAACAAGGCCAGATGATACAAAATGATTAATACAGGAAAATCTTTAAAGAAAGTAAGTGCTCCTAAATAGGTTAAACAATATCTGAATTCTTAACTATGTTACATATTTGCTCAGAAAATTACTTCTTTGAGAAAAAAGAAAAAGAGAGAGAATAAATGTTAGAGTTCAATCCTAGTTTGTTTGAATGATGGAAGATAGTAACTCCCTTATTTAGGCTTTCTCCAGCATTTTCTTCAAATGTCAATTATAACCTATGAAATTTTATGTTAGTTGTGTTCTATGATCTCCTCCTTAAGGTCCCTTAAACTATCCTCATATGCAGGGGTAAGTACAATGACTGGCATATATGAGATCTTTAGTAAAGTAAAAAAAAGCAAACAATTTATTTAATGAATGCTTTATTTGCCCCCTTTCCTTCTTATTTCATATACTATATGGTACATTAAAATCTAATTGAGAAGTCTAGAAATGTTTTAGGAATATGATCAAGTCACTTAAGCTGTGTTTCTCATATTCTCATTTGTTATTTCCATATCCACAATTCTGTAAGCCAGTCCAGGAATTTCAACTTGGTAGACAGTTATTTTGTACCTTCTCTAAGTAATAATTTATTTGCTTGATTCACATGCATAGTCTAGCTAATGCTTCTCATATGACAATGATCCTGATATTGAGAGCATCTTACTTCCTTTATCATTTTCCAGAAGGACAAAGAAAGATTATCTCTAAATTTCATTATCCACAATTATTTTTTTAAAAATGACATTTTAGACCGCCTCATGGGAATAGAAGCAATTGGCCAGGATTCCAAAATTTACATGAAGCCCTAAAATACTTTAAATCCACCTCGTTTGCTGGAAATAGAACCCAAAGGAAACATGTAAATTCTAAAGCCATTCCTGGGCCTTTATAACTTCAAATTTTAGAGAATTCCCACCATGAGGACCTTATGTTTGGGTTTTTTCCACGTGCAAGTTTCCATGGTGGACTCAACTTAGAATTCCTTATGTTTTTAAGGATGACTTCTATCTCTGATATTTATAGTAAAGAAATCCAAGAGCTTCTGGTGAGCAATGAAGGGATTAGCTGATCATATAAGGCTCAATTACACACTATATGATGACAAAGGAAAAATATTAATTGAATCAGTACTCTCCGGTCCAGATAAGACCACCATCACCTCGCTGAGAGATGCTGGCTTGTATTATCATATGGTGATTGTAAATGTGTAGCTCTACTGTATGTAAACATTATGATATTAGGGAAAATACAGACCAAGGAAATTTGGTGCAAAAAGAAAAAATATTTTCTTGATCTCAATTCACTTATTATTATGGAGAACATATAAACAATGGGCTCAGGATCTGAACTAAGTGAAATAAATCCTTGACTTCCTCTGCTAATGGTAAGGGATCTTAGAAAATCAAAAACTCACTTTGCCTAGATATGAATTAATTTTTGCTGCCTTTCTTGTTACAATTATGGAAGACTATTAGTATTTTCCTTTTTCCTAGCCTTTTCAAGGAGGAAAGAACACAGTATTAATTCCCATACAAACAATTATAAAAGGCCACATTTTTGTGCAATGAAACATAATGTTTTTACCTTTTTTTGTAATGGGATTCCACTATGATTGTTTCATTAAACCCAGTGGTGAATACTTTTGGTACTTAGCTAGTTAACCCTCTTGAGTAAGAAGCCTGACTTCAACTCAGTAACAAATATATAAGATTTCCAGTTATAGAGCTTTTAATGTTGAATTTCTTCAGCTCAATCATTACTGTTTTCAAGGTTGTCACAGGAAACTCTTTCTGCTCCATATTTCCTAGAATTAATCATTCATTCTTAACAGTCATTCATTGCATTCAGACCCCTACAAGGCATTGTATTGTTTCTAGTCACTTGGGATAAAGCAATGAGCAGTGACACTTTCCATTTTAATGTTGGCCAACAGTTAAAGAAATATAAGGTTTGAGTCCACCAATTAGCTGTCTGCAGCTTCAGGTATACAGTGATGTAAAGCTAAATCAATGAGTGTTATTAAACACTTATGTTTTCTGTGGCAAATTCCCAGGATTATTCCAGTTTAAAAGTTCTGGCAAATCTGGGGGTAGATAAAGCAGGTATGGCTGTCACTCTGCTCGTGGTTGTTTCGCTATTTTGCAGAACCTACCAGGAATATTCAGCATCTGAGAAAGGATCCAGAACCTCTGTTCCCTGGGAAACTTGAAACATATTATCTCAGCTCCTAAACCCATAGATTGCAACCCAGGGATCTCTAACACCCTAGAACAAATGGAGAAAAAAGTGGTAAATTCCCTTTGTTAAAAACAATAATAAACTGGGATAGATTTGACCTCTGGAGGACAAGGACATTGACATTATTCATGGGCAAAGTATAAAATTTATATTACATAAGGCTAAGAAGTCACTTTCAAACTTGTAAGCAAAAATCCATTTTCCTTTCTAGTACATCAAAGAAAGTTTTGCTTAATTCCAAACAAATATTTACATAAAATTCTTCTCTAAAATGTCTATGGTGAGAAATTCTGGACTCTCAGGGGTACGTTTCTGTCCTTAAGGGATCACCTTAAGAAATACCAACATCTACAATCTCCCACCAAAAAAAAAAAAAAAAAAGACAACAAGATCTAGAGCAGGGGTCTGTTAACCTTTTCTGTAAAAACCCACAGTGTAACTATTTTAGTCTTTGCAGGCAGGAGGGTCTTTGTCACAGCTACTCACCTCTGCCTTTGAAGAGTGAAAGCAGCCATAGACTGTGTTAGGAAATAAGCACACCTGTGACATGCCTGTGACATGTAGCTGGCCACATTTGGCTCACAGGCCATAGCTTACCAACCCCTGATCTAGGTAGGTCTGTATTCAGAGTAAAGGTAACATTTGTCGTATTTATTTAGGCCCTCACTTCTGTTTTATGTCCTATCACATAATGAAATAAACATAAGTATGCACCTTAAATAGTGAAGGAGATATAATTTTCCATTTATCATCAGATATGATTTATAATAAAGGATATCCTCAGAAACCTAATGTTTATCCATTTAAATGCTATTAGCTTCTACACTGATAAACTTTTGATCATTTTTCTGTATTGTAGATCATTATCCCTTGCCTTATAATATAGTAAGTGCAATGGAATTTTTTTTATTGTTTTTGGTAGAGAGAGTCTTTTTTTAAGCATAAATAAACGTTTTATTGGTCAGTTTGGGTGAATGGCTAGAGATAATTTTAGGGGGCATATACTCGACATCAGTTGGCCTCAGTCTGCAGTGATTTTCTATTTGATATTGACATTACCACCACCTTTTATATCAGCTATCAGTGTCAATGTGTCTCTTTCTAGTAACCCCATTTCTTATGTCCATACTTCCTCCCACCATAGCTCCACAAATGAAATCTGCTCTCTACTGAAGAACTAAATTCTGATTGAAAGACCCATATAACCTAGCTCCTGGTATCAAATAAGTCATCATAAAGCCAATATTAAGTCCCTGGCCCTTTGAAGGAGGGCTGCATTTGTCTTCTGGCAGCATAGACTGTACAAACAAAGTTTTCCATAATACTCAAAAGTTTGGGTTTTGACTAGATTCCAAAACATTGAGGTTACTGATAGTCTGATTAACAGGTAAATAAGAAATTTTCCTAGTGTGCTAATACCTCCTTATTTTCCTACTTGTTTATTTGGAAAAACTAATACATTGTTTTTCTTGACTGATTTTGCTACTTAAAATTTATCCTACTCCATATCTTGCTCAGCTCTGACTAATTTTGATTTGCACAATGGATCTCAACACAGGGCCACATAAAAATCATCCAGAGAAGCATTTGAAAAATATCAAAACCTAGGTCCCATCCTGTAGTTTTCTAGTCATTTGGTTTGGGAGCTAGAGAACAGGCATTAGTCATTTTTTATTTTGTTTTGTTTTTCATTTTAAGATTCCCGGGTGATTCTCAAGTTAATCAAGGCCTAAGAACTACTAGTTTTCTATATCCAATTTCTTTTAGGAGTCTGTATAAAGGATTAAATATGGAATAGTTTGCATTGGTGCTCCTCTTTCTATTTGTGGCATAGAAATTTCACACATAAAAGATATGGGGTTATCTAAGAACTCTCTCCTCTTGACAATGCCCTGCAAGTTTATCTATGTGGCTGCATTTCAGAATATATCCCTTTTTTGAGATGAGCTCACTATGTGGAAAATGTAGTAAAGCTTGAGCCATCAGTGTTGAGATCTTTTATTTCCTTTTCTTTCTTCAGCTACTGTGTCTTAAATGACTGTTTTTGATAACTGTGAAGCCATGTGAATGTTACTGTCTTTCTCTTGTTCATAGCACCAGAAGAATGGGCCACGACCCGCTCCAGCCTGAAGGCACCACCACCAAGGTCAGCCAGAGGGGTATTCAGGGAGCACCCCTATGGTAGATATTGAAGGTCCTTCCCACCGTGACCTCACCTCAAAGACAATTCATAGCCTGTGGTCTCCACATAAACAGCAACAATACAAGTAATAGTCTTTTTTTTTTCTCCTATTCTAGGGATAACTGCTCATGATTACTCCCTTATATTTCTTGTATTTCCCCTATACTGTTGACGTGACATTGACACTAGTATTATTTTACAAAACGGACTAAAAGAGACATTGGCAAGCATTGTCTATAAACCATTCAGTAGGATGATATTCTCTTGGTTGTTTTTCATTGTTGTGTGTAATCTTTTTTTTCTTTTTTCTTTTCTTTCTTTCTTTTTTTTTTTTAAAGAAAGAGCATGAATCTGTTAACAGATTTTGAGTCTCAATCAACTAGCAAAAACTTTGTTTAGGGTTGCTAAAAGACTGTAATATGATTTTTTGAACTAGCTGATAATAAAGTTGTAGATAAGATGTTTTAACCTGTCTTTTTAATATCTGTTAGTTAGATGAAGATGTTCGATATTAAGTTTGTAAATTTAATTTTAAATGCTGTTTTAATGGGGTTGAAAACAAACAGCTACTGTATGTATGTAGCTAACTGAATTTGTTCAGTGTTTTAACCTGTATTTGTTAAAAACGAAAAAAAAAACACACACATAAAGTTCCATGTGTAAGCTTCTCTAAATAGGAAACCACAATTTGTCAAATATGTTTGCCATAATTTGTCAATAAAGCTGAAAACTTTTGTAAAAACTAAATTTGGAATTACTTGTTTTCTAGCTTTAAATGCCTGCTTTATTTCTTCTTCAAGAGATGCCTAAAATGTTTTCTATTTAAAAATTACAAAAATGAACCCAAGCCTGTTTTAAGATATTTGTGTAATACTTAAAAAAATGTATTAATAACTTATGGTTGTTAAATAATTTAAAAGTTAACAAACTAAACTGTTACATGAATCATGGTTAGTAAACACTAATGTATAATATGTTAATGGAAAAAAATGGATTTAGAATAATAAATGGATTTTAAACTATCCTCTAAGCTTTATCTTGCTAAACACAAATTCTGATTGACTTGTTTGCATTAGCATGTCTCTCGTGAGAAAGAGTAATGGAGTATAAAGAGGTAAGATTACCACTTACCACTGTCTAAATGCCTAGTTCTTCAACCTTTGAGTTTCCCCGCACATTAAATATCCCATCCAACATGTAAGCATTGCGTAGATTCACTTTATTGTTTTCACTCGAAGGAGTGCGTGGACTTCATTTGCGTAGTTTATAACAATTTGTTTTGACAAACAAATCATCAGTGTCACTGGCCAGTTGTTGCTATTCAACCTCAAAAACTTTATTTGTAATTTTCAGTGCTAAATATCACCGCCCTTGAAGGCAGTTTAGAGGGCTGATATTTCTTTTGAGACTATCAGACTTGATGGCTGATGATTATTAAGGAAATATGTCGCAGGACTCAAAGGATGACTAAACGTTAAACAGGTAACACTAATAGTAACTCTGTAATTTTGCCTATGCAACAGTAATGTTAAATATTCTCAGTTATTAAGTTCCTGATAGTTAAAAAAGTAAACCTACAAAAACATAACAAATAGGTCTATAGGTTATTAAAACAACTAATTAACATTAACTAGAGGCACCAAAATTATTTTACAATATATAACCCTCAAGGTAATAAACAGAACTAAAATTAACAATAATAGTAATGCAACTCTTGCTAACATCAAACGTAAGCTAAATTTTGGTGGAAAAAAAGAAAGTGAAAGACTGGATGGTAGGGATGAATGCCAAAACTGTTAATCTTTTAAATACAGTTTTTTTGTTTATGGTGGCTTTTGTCGATGTGATTGGTTTACTTTTTTGCTGCGAACCAGCTTAGGCTTATTGCTGTTCAGTTTTTACAGCTGGAGTTGCATGCTAATAGTTTTATGAAGTGTGTGTGTCTGTCATCACTTAAAATTGTAAATATTTGCCTTTCACAAAATGCTATTGAGTTATATTTAATTTTCTTTTTTTTATTCTTTCTCACTATTTCAGGTACACACAAGCAAAGATCACATAATTGAACAGCAGAAGTGATGGGCTAAGAAGGATAAAGGTAAGCGTATTTTTTATTTTCTCTGAAATAGATAATCTTGACCAAAATGAACCCATGGCAGTGAGTTACAACACCGAATGCTACTTGTTGAAATACTGAAAAGGCTTTGATTGTTGTCAAGGAACTGAGTTATTTTTATCTTTTTTAGAAATAAAGTGATCCAACTTGGTGTTTACCTGGCGAGGCTTTCTGAGCTTATTCAGAAGCTTGTCAAGGGAAACATGAATTAGTAGTTAATATTCAGCCCGTTTCTTTGCTATACACTACTACATGTTACCTCTCCTTAACTGTACAAAGAAAGAACGTTAAAGCTTTTGTTCTGCAGATATAAGAGAAGGAAATCACAATTGTTGGCTGAGATGGAGAGATGGGAAAGGGGAACCCATAACCAACCCTTCGCCTACCCCTTGTCAATGAGATAATGTTTAGTAACATTTACTTAGTCAAATAAAGTAACTAAACTTACCATTATTTTCCCCATTTATCCCACTGGATTTATTAATAATCTTGTTTATCATCTGCCATTCTATTTGATTCAGCAAATATTTACTGAGTACAGAGCACTATTGGAAATCGAGATCTGATTTCTGTACACAGAGTTGAAACTTTCGCCAACACAACTCACACTGAAAACAATGCAGAGGCAGTTACAAAGTCCACGGACTGACCGGACTTAACAGACAATTGAAATGGCTTTGCTATGATATTGGAAACAGGGTAAAACCCAAGTCTGCTCCTTCCGGGCCTGGTCCACTTTCTACTACACAAATATCCAGATATCCACAATACAGTGAGAGGTAGGAGAGATTACTTAGGAGAGGAAGTCGGGCAGAGACTGACATTCCCATGGGATGAAAGGGGGAGCCTGTTCATTGATGAGGAAGGGAGTGCCACTTGGTGAAGGGAACGGGCTGTGTCAGTTTGTGGGGTCTCCAAAGTTCAGTAAGTGTTTGAAGGAAACCAGGTCAGTGGACCCTGATGGCCAGATTCATGAAGGCACAGAGCCTAGCCTAAAGAGCTGGCGTCCAGTCAGGTAGGTCCTAAGCACTGTGTTAAAATTTATTGGAAAAGTAAATGGAAGCTGCTGTAGGTTTGAAGTAAAGAATCAGAACTATTCCCCTAAGGAAATCACCCCATGTACCCAATGCAAACCTCACATTTAGTCAATTCTATAGTGACTAATGCCTCTTTATCTGAGATAGCTTTTCTAAAATTAAAATGGTTAGAATAACTGTTTAATACTGCATATGCCTCAGTTAATCAAGTCCCCTTGTTAGCTGCAGAATCAAAGATCAGAAGTTAGAGAAATTTTATCAGTAATATTCCATATCTCATTTGACCATTAAAAAATGTTAGTTTTTATAAACCAAAGGGAAGAAGAATCTCAGATCCAGATATCCTCTGTATTTTTCTCCTTTGATCCTTTTCAAACAATTGGCTTGATCTTGTAAACTAATGAAAGTGAAACCAGTCACAGTTTGTTACTATTCTGATCTATTAATCAATGTTTTTGTAATAGCTTCATTGTTGCTGTTGTTTCATAACCCTGTGGCTCTCTCACCATTCAGACTGTATCTTGGAATTCATTAACTCAGGGCAGGGCTATCACAGCAGAAACACCAGTGCTAAACAAGAGAAGAGAACATTCTTGGCTGTTGAGTTTAAAAGTAAGAGTTTTTGAAGCTGAAAACAATGATTTGTAAGAAAGGGGATTTGGAGTTTCAAAAGCGTACACTTTGAGTAGGCTTCAAGTAGGACAAACAGTTTATGCGTTTACATTTAAAAGACTCCCATCCAGGAATGAATGAATGAATGAATGAATGAATGAATGGCTCCCTTCCACTACACATCTACAAGATAAATATTGTCCAGGCTGAGAAAAAAGCTTAGAGGCAGCAATAACTAAGATATTAGTGTGAGACATTACTGCGGCCTTAACTGTGAATACTGTTCACTGTATCAATTATCCAATAAAAGCCTGAGATAGTTTTGGAACACCAAACAGGAAAGGGCGCAGTAACATCCGCGTGGACCAACACCAACCAGCATGCAGGTTATCAGTGCGTGCAACGTGGAAAGGGGAGAAGATCAGCTGCTACCTGCCGCCAACAGCTGCAAAACTTCAATCCAGCTAGGAAACAGAGAGGGGAAAAAATACATTCCTGAGTTGACGGAGGAACTGCTGACCAAAATTAATCTGAATTGGGTGAGATTATTTTTCTCTGCCTGGCAGTATGGAGACTTGAGATTGAAATCAAGTCGAAGTACAGAAAAGTATAATTATATGTACGTTGCAGTCATTTATTGCATAACGTGTCTGACTCTTATGATAATCAGAAGCGAATGCAGTAGGTTTCTCTGGCAAAAGAGAATAAGAATTTCCCTAAGTTTGTGGCCTCTCAGCAGAAACCTTCGATAGAATAAAAACTGTTCAGAGTGGCCCTAACTAATGAACATCTGCCCTGTCATAGGGTTCCTTCTCTTGTCGATATCAGAAGTGATGCTGGGTCTCATTTGGATCCCTTCATAATGTCACGTCTGCTGTCACTAATTTCAATGTGCTGGCAGAACGGTTATCTTGCCAGTTCTAGAGCCATTGCCAGTACACACATTCTCATAGCTGACATTTCACCTGTGCAAGTCATACAAACTTGCACGGCAAATTAAGGTTTTTAAATTACAGTGCATTCCATCTAGGTGGACTTGAAGTTATCTGTGTGCAAGCTCCATACATTCTATCAGACGATGCTGTCACTTGGTACGCGGAAGATCCTACAACAACAAGGAGCTCACCAAAACACCAAAGGTAGCTAGCTTGGGCACTAAACAAAGTATTTTAAATAGTAATAATAACATTAATAAGCAATAAATTATTTGTGTCTGCATATATTTGCTTAGCAAAATGTTTTACTACATTCAAGTGTGATTAAATCAGAATCAATTTGATGCCCGTTAAGAGACCAAATAGTGCTTTTGTATTTGTAATATTTAGATAATTATTACTTTCAGTGTATGAATGGAACTAAGCCCATTTAGTTTAGTAATAATTGAAGTACTCATAGTTTTTAAGGAAATTTGGAACAGAATGACATATTAAAGGTTCTCAATAATTCTCTTAAAGAAAATTGTTTTTTCAACTATATTATTAAAATATGACTTTCATCCCTTTAGTTCTTCACTTAAAAATATATAGACTGAGGGGGCCGGCTGAGTGGCACGTTGGTTAAGAGTTGGCTTGGGACGCCAGCTCTGAGCAGCGGGGTCCTGGTTCGGATCCCACATGAGGGCCAGTAATGCTGCGCCCTCTATAGCTAAGATGCTGAGCAACAGCTCGACCTGGAGCTGGGCTGCCATGAGTTGCCGGTGATGGCATAGGCTGCAGTGGGGCTGGCCGGCAGCCATCATGAGCTTTCGTGAGCTGCTATGAGTGGCCATCCAATGGCTGGCAAGTGACTGAAGAACCAAAGGACAACAACTTGTCTGTTCTCCTTCCCTGATTCCCCAGTGCCGTTCCCCTCCCTCAAATCCCCCATAAAATATTTTTGAAAAAAAAGAGTGCAAACTCTGAGCAACGGGGTCACCGGTTTGATTCCCAGCCTGAGCTGAGCTGAGCTGCTGCTGAATTGCCAACAGGTAGCAGGATGGCTCAGCTAAAAAAAAAAAAATATATATATATATATATATATATATATATATATATACTGGTACTTTGAAAACCACAAATGTTCATTTAAAAAGTAATCCTTTAATTATATAGTGTTCTCTTTCTATCTATCTCTATGTTTCTTTGATAATGTAATATAGAAACTTATAGGGTTTTGTGTGTGTGTGTGTGTGTGTGTGTGCGTGTGTGTGTGTGTGTTTGTGTGTTTTAAAGGCAATGATAATCTAACTTGGCTGAAAATCAAGTGTCATTTTCAGTATCAAGAGGCTGCCTGTTACTGAAAACTCCATCTGTTTGACACTCTTGCAGATTCCATGGGAAGGTTTAATATTTACTGCAAAAAACTATGTAGTAAATGATTAAAAATATCAAATTGTGTGATCACTTACAAAATCAATGACATGGTTTATGTTTGGTATAAGGGCAAAGTAATAATAATAATAATAATAATAATAATAGGACCATCTCTTTTCTGAACATACATGCCTGGCAAGGTACTAGCACTTTCACATAAAAACTTACATGAAACATCTGTGACCCTTACAACAAGCTTGCAAAGGAAGTATCATTAACCTCATTTTACAGAAGAGGAAGTTACAATTCAGATGTTTAACTAATGTCACACTGCTAATATATAGCAAAACCAATATTTAAAACAAAGTTTGATAACCCACACATTTTCCAGAATGCTATGGTGATTCCCAGCTTTTAATGAATTTGATTGAAAAGAGAATCTAAAATCTCAAATAGCCTTAACATAATTTTTATTCTGTAGCAATATGATGAGTAGTAACTAAAAATTTGATAAAATATGATAACTTGAAGTGCATCTTTGCTTTGATCTTTCCTCAGTTTGTCACTTTCAAAAGTTCTGATTTCATGATAGAAAAATCTAGATGAAAGAACTCTACATTTGTCATACAGCATGACCACAGTTCTATAGAACAAATGAATCCATTTATAATCTAAACTCTATCTTGACACTGAAAAAATACATGATTAAATAAGCATGAGAGCAATTTCAGGCTTTCATTCTTCAATCTATAAATCAGAACTCTGCTTTAAAGTATGAGAGTTAATTTCAAACCAGAAATATCTTCGTATAAGCCATGCAGTCATGTGTTAAGAACACAAAGGGAAGGTATCATTCAATGTTAAATATTTTAAAACAAAGCATTTTCTGTTGCCGATATCCTGTGTAGCATTTCTGGACATCCTAGTGTCCTATTAAAATAGCTGAGTTAACAATAAGATAGGTGTTCTTGTTGACTGGCAGGTGCCAGTCTCTCATACCATCATAAAGTTTAATTTTCTAGCCTCTTCACATAGAATTTATTAATTTGTATTCAAAAAATAATTTACAGTGAGTGAAAAAGATTACTCTACTTGCCATGCTGTCTTGTATCTCAGTTACTTACGCTTCCTTGTGAGAGATTGAGCAAACAGGAGAGGAGGCTGTCTGATTTGTACCCCACTGGATGCCTTAACAACAGCTAGCTTATTATCTGCCTTTACCAAAAAAAAAGTACAGAATCAGTAAAAAGTTACTAAACACTAACTTTGTTCAAGCTCCTGTTCTACCATGGTACATATTTCACAGTGGGATATAGTGAATGATCGATTTCCAAAGGATGCGTGGAGAAGCTTGGATCCTCTTCTTAGGACCTCTCTAGAAGCAAATGTCACCACTAGACAAAGGTTTCCTACCACCTTGACGCCTCTAAGGGTGACTTCTATCAGTAGGAAAACGTCCCCTCCCCTCTGCCTCATGCCCTGCCTGCCCTAACACAGGTGTTCCATGTTTCCTTTATTCTAACCTTATACCTGACTTTTTTGACATCAAGACATTTTTCAACTTCTCTAATACATTTTGCCCCTCCTTTCCCAATGCCTTCTGTCACTTTCCCATATGCACATGGGAATGTGAGAAGACAAAAGTCATCCAGGTACAAATAATGGTTATCTTAGAATATGGCAGAATTGCCAGTGAATTGGTATTTTTTGGAGGGAGAGTTTTCTTTTTAATATATGCTGTCTTCTTTTTTTTTATTACAAAAGTAATCCACACTCAGGATTAAAAAGTTAGACTGTATAATATAAATATGCAATCCAAAAATTCAAAGTCTATAATCCTTTTATCATTACTAGAGTAGGGGAAGGAGTACTGTTCAATCTATTCAGCAGAGTCCCTACACTAAGAAATGTTTTCTGTGTTAATTATGAAACCTATACATGTCCATTGTAAACCAAACAGTATGAAAAGAAAATCACATTTAATTAAAACAGAAATAACAACTGTTAACATTTATATATAGTCTACTGATCACAAAATTTTGATTTCTTAGCTATATAGTATAAGGGGACCCAATAGGTGAGAAAATATCTCCAATTAGTCTAAGTTCTCTGTTTCAAAACATAGAACTTTAAAATTAAAAACAAATAAACTTACTTTTGGAATTCACTAAGATCAGTACATAATAACTGAATAGAATGAAGGCAGTTTTAAATGTCTTTAAACAAGGAAGAGTATATTTACATTTTACGTAAAGATGAACTTCATAATGGAATTAACGTTGAATTTTTAAACTGTTTTTTCAACTTTTCTTTTGGGCATTTAAGAATATAAATTTATTTATTGACCAATACATAAAAATTTGGAACTAATGCTAGGTATGCTGCTTTATGCATTCTAATAAGGCATAATTTTTAAAATAAGTAATACCACATTCCGTTAGATAAACTTCTCTGGAATCTTTTTCGATCTGATAATCCCAAACAAAGTACAAATTGGTTTAACTTTTTAAAAACCTTTTTTTTTTCATTTCTAGTGAGTAAATCACCCAGGTACAAATAATGTTTATCTTAGAATATGGCCAAATTGCCAGTAAATTGTTTTGTTTTGTTTTTGTTTTTGTTTTTGTTTTTTTTTGGGGGGGATTGTTAATATGTGTTGTCTCCTTTTTTATTACAAAAGTAATCAATACCTAGAATTTAAAAATTAGGCTATATATTGTAAATATGAAATCTAAAAATTGAAAGTCTATAATCCTACTCCTCAAAGATAACTCTGTTAACAGATTGGTTTATATTTTTTCTGATTTTCTTTCTTCTTTTTCTTATTTCCTTTCTCTATTCTACAGCTGCTTGTTACTTATTTATTCATTTGAAACGGGATTCTGCTATATACATATATGCAATTTTAATTTTCAGAAACGAGATGAATTTTGTTTCTTTGTAAACTAGTAGTCATTTCCATAAGGTTGATTCGTGTGTGGAGGATTAAAGTTGCACTATTACACTATGAAACGTTAAACCACACTACATACCCTAAAATGTAAGCAAAGTTATTTTAACTTTTCAAGCTTCAGTTTTCTATAGGTAAAATGGGGGTCATAACAGCACCTACTCATAGAATTGTGAGGTATTTAAAGTAAAATCATACAGGTATGTGTATATCCTCTGCAAATTTAGTTAATATTCTTCCCTAAATTATTATTCTTTGACTAGATTTTTTTTACTTTAAGGTATCTTTTTTTTTTTAAGATTTTTTTTGGGAATTTGGGAAGGGGAACATTGTGTTTTTCCAGGACTCATGAGCTCCAAGTCAAGTTGTTGTCCTTCAATCTTAGTTGTGGAGGCACAAGCTCAGCTCCAATCCATCCGCCGCTTTCAATCTAGTTGTGGGCAGGTGTGGGGGGGAGCCGTAGTCCACCATCCCATGCAGAAGTAGAACTGGCAACCTTGTTGTTAAGAGCACACACTCTCACCAACTAAGCCATCTGGCCACCCATTGGCAGCTCAGCGGCAGCTCAGCTCCGGCGCAGCTCATTGACCCATGTGGGAATTCAACCAGTGACCCTGTTGCTCAGAGCTCACATTCTAACCAACTGAGCCACCCGCCCGGCCCTACTTTAAGGTATCTTTATGGTGTGTATCAAATGTGTAAATAAAAGCTAGTTTAACCCATAAAAATATTCATATTATTCTAATCAATTTGCAGCTTAGAAATTTTAAAATTATTGTTTACTAAAATATTCATCTAATGTAGTCTTTAGAACATGGCTGTAAACATGTTCATCATTATATTCATAAGCAAGCATATATTGGGTATCTTCATAACAGGTATCAAAAGATATGTTTATACACAATAATCTTATACTAATGTTGCACATATGTTGTTCACACTGAAATAATCATGACTAAAAATGACAGTAAGACTAGCAATAATTTGGTACAATTGTTTCAATAATAATGTGACAAAAGAGGCATTTGCAATAATGGAATGCATAACACATGTCAAGCACTATATTAAGTATTTTTAGGAATGACTTCATGTATTTTCCCAACAACCCTATGATACAAGTTCTAGGGCATTCTCATTTTCTAAGTGGGAAAACTGAGCCTGAGAGAGGAGACGTAATCTACCTAAGCTCACATCACTGAGCAGCGGGGTAGACTTTTTTTTTAATCAAAGTTTATTGGGGTGACAATTATTAGTAAAGTTACACAGGTTTCAGGTGTACAATTCTGTAATACATCATCTAGATATCACATTGTGTGTTCACCACCCAGAGTCAGTTCTTCTTCCATCACCATATATTATACCCTTAAACCCAGGCAGTCACAGAGACCTTGTCCTTTACCCTGCACCCTACTGTCCCCTCTGACTCTAATGATAAGTTTTGTAGTAAACTAATTTGAGAGGAAACCAGAACACATTTGTAATTTATTCTTCAAGCTAGTAAAAAGGAATTAGAAGAAACTCTCTTACTATGAGTACTTCCAAGATCAGTAAGTACTGCCTTTTAAGTGTGATGATACAGTTCTAAACACCTCTATATGCATAAGCCCAAATATTCAGAATATCTCTTTTCCCTGGATTATCCAAAAAGTGAGTCTTGTATAATAACCCTAAGCTCTGTACATGTTGTGCCTGAGTATATTTATTTATGCATCTTACCGTTGATTAAATGGAAACTATGTGTATTTAAGTATAGAATTTAGTCTTCATGGTGGTTGAGATATCCTAAATGAAGCAACATAAAACTCCAATGAAAAATGAAAATAAACTATAAAAGTATATTTCTAGAAAAATAGTCATGATTACTTATTTGTTTACTAATGGCATGTTCTATGGTATTGATTTGTCCCAATCAGTGTGATTACAAAAAATAAAATGTAGGTTTTTCTTGTTTTTCTTTTACTATGTCTTGTCCTATAGATGATCCACACTATTGAAATGCATTTTGTACTTTATTACACTTAATAATAGGATACCAGAATGAAGGTGAACGTGAGAATAAGAAAAAAAATGATTTAGAAAGACAAGGAATGTAGCTAGAAGGGTGAAAAGATCCATTAGAGTGCTAAGACGAAACAGGTAGCAACATGAAAAAGAAAAGATAGACCACCCCTTACAACCTTCAAAGAATGTAATGTCCTGAGATCTAAAATTTCTCATAAATCACCATCATGTGCAACTTATCATAGAAGGCAATAACTTTACAAATTAAAAATATGTTTTCTGTTTACAGCAAATACAGGACATTCACCTGTTGAATATGTCTGGAACTCCTGCTGTGTGTCCCAGAATCACTTTCATAGGCCATTGTATTTTTCCTGTCACTTCCACCAGAAGATATTATTTACTACTTCGGAAAATTTCTGTGTGTCCAGTGTTGGGTAATGAAAAAATATTTACACCAGCCTCTCACAGTGTATGTTAATTCAAATTTGTGCTTTGAGAAAATTGCAAATTATTGCCTATCTTATATTGATGTTTAAGAGATATGGTACTCGAAACTATATTTGAAGAATCCTTAGTTTGGCATACTGTGTATTTGAGTAAAAACTAGACCCTGTAGAATCATTAACTCTATAAAGGTTCTCAATAGAATTGTATATTTGTTGTATTTGGATTATCAGGAAGATGTCTGACATGAGATATAAAAGGTTAATTACTGGCAAGTGAAAGTTGGTGACGGGTTGATTTGATTGCTCAAAAGTAGGAGAGGTTTGTTAATTCTCTGAGGATTTAATGTCAAGGTGTTGGTGTGTTTTAAGTAATATTCAAACGATTTACTTAATCCACATACTTTTCCATCACTAATTCTACCAGTTCATTATATCATCCAGGGAAACACTTTAACTTGCAAATGAGACTAGAAGTGATAGCTTGTCACTAAGAGAAATAGGTTCAGAAGAAAGTGACCTTATGACAATTTACAGCTAAATAATACTCAGTGGATGCCAAATAGTCTGCTGAGCTAAATACACTGCTAGCTGTCACATAAGAGAAAATGTTATCAAGAGCAGCAGCATCTTGGTTTAAAGATGTTCAAGGAATATTTAGGGAAAGTACAGCCAGGCTTTACCTTCCTAATAGCAAAAATTAGGACCCTCTTGGGAAAAAGCTCAACTTTTTTTATCTTAACTAGTACATAAATCCAGGTTGATGGGAGGCATTTATCAAGTATAACTAAATGAATAAATATCAATTTGCCTCCATCTTTTTCTAATCTTACATTTCTTATGTACTATTTATGACATATGTAAATTGTATTCATTTTTATGTAAAAATCAATAAATATACAATAATATTATATATCTACCTATCTATGCATTGATACTTTAAAAAAACTTTAAAGATCATATTGTTTTAATTATCATGACAGCTCTATGAAGAAAGCAGGAAAATTTTTCTTATCTTCATTTTATTTATTTATTTATTTATTTTTTAAAGATTTTGTTGGGGAATTGGGGGAGGGGAACAGTGTTGGGGAATTGGGGAAGGGAAATAGCCAAGTTGTTATCCTTCAATCTTAGTTGTGGAGGACGCAGTTAGCTCAGCTCCAAGTCTAGTCACACCTCTCAGCTCAAGGTGCAGTGTTCAATTTGTTGCGGGTGGGCATAGCCACTATCCCATGCAGGAGTCGAACCAGCAGCCTCGTTGTTAAGAGCAACTGCTCTATTCACTGAGCCATCCTAGCAGCAGTTCAGCTCAAAGAGCCGAGTTCAGTCTTTAGTTGCGGGCGGGCATAGCCCACCATCGAACAGGCAGTCTTGTTGTTAGGAGCATGTGCTCTCACCAGCTGAGCAATCCTGCCACCTGTTGGCAGCTCAGCGGCAGCTCAGCTTGGGCGTAACTCACTGGCCCATGTGGGAATCAAACCCTGTTGCTCAGAGCTCACACTCTTAAGCAAGCTCTTAACCAACTGAGCCTTATCATTTTAAAGATAAGGAAACAAAATAAAGATAAGGGTTAAGAGATTTGTCCAAAATCACATCAATTCTACATGTTAGGACTTGGTCTAAAACCTTAACCTCTCCAAAATAATTAACCATCTTGTTTTTATAAATGATAGCATCTAGTGGTGGAAGACAGATCAAGTTTGTATGTGACAGAACACTGTTTATGTACAATAATTATTAAATATGTTATAATAAAAATACTCTAGGTTGACCAGAAGTTTTAAGATTTACTTTTACATGTATATAAACATTTATTTATAACCTTAATAATAAACATTTAGGTACCTCCCAAAAGACATGCCACGATACTGAACACTTAAAAAAAAACAAAACAGCATATTGGCATCAGATCCATATACTCAAAATCGAAAGTCTAATGATTACAAAAATGTACACTGTATTCATAATATCTAAATTAAGTAATATTTTTTATTTGGCTGGAAAAGAATGGTATTACAATTAATTAAAAGTATAAAACACTAAGTAAGAAATTAATGGAAGCATTCTAATTTTGATTTATAATACATCAAAATAGAGAGTCCATTTCTGTAGCACCTATGATTATCAGAACTTCAAAAGAAAAAATCAGGTATTCATGTTACCACTAGATAAAAATTAGCATAACTTTGGCCATCATTTTTTTATACTTGTATTAGTCCTCCCATCTTAAAAAAATAAAAATAAAAGGACTTTATGACTGTTGAATAATTGAGATTTTTAAATGTCCTGTGAGTTTCAAAATCTAATCTTGGTTTGGTTTGCAAAGGCCAAAAACTGTCACTGAAATTTCTTAATTTTAAGTCAATCACCCTGTTTGAGGAAAAGATCTCAGAAGGTTTGAATCTCAACTAAACAGATCAACAGTTGATCTTGATTTAATTTACTAAACAATTTCATTTAGCAGTATAGAGACTTAGATTCTTTCCATAAGAGTACAGTCATCTGGAAGGATTCTGCTAATTGGTCCAATTTATCTTTGTTCACCTTTATTGTTAAAGTACATTGCAAGGACTCAGAAATACCTATTTGTCACAAACCCACTGTTGAAGCAATACATGGCAAATCAATACAGATTTTATTGTTTCACAATTAATCTGCTGTATTACACTGTGCAGAAAATATACTAGCTCCTTTTGCCATGTAAAAGCAGCATATTTGAGAGTCTTAGGCTTACTCAGTTTCCAGGTCAAACCTCATTCCTTAATTGGACATGAGTTCCTAAAACATTTCTCCTATGGTCAGATAGTTAAACTGTGCTATACATTTCAGGTTCTGGTGTGCTCAGAACCTCAGAGATTTCTGGTTACCTTCTGAGATCAGGAAATGCACTTTTTTATTAAGCATAGGTGACTAATTAAAATATTATGGTTCGTTATATAAATTAGATACAGCACCTAAGTTTCAAATAGTAAAACAATTAGATACATTTGGTGATGAGTTCATTCTTGCTGCCTCTCTCACCCAATGTAAGGGAAGGGTGGGTCCAGAAACACAGTATAAATGAGAGATGACTTTAATTATGTCTACGATGTCCACACCAAGAAAAACCAGTAAGGTTTCTTTATGCTACACGGTATTTCTATAGCTTCTATTTATTTATAAAGATAAATTACTTGATAATGATAATGATTACTTGATAATGCTAAATACCTAATTTGGTAAATATCTAATTTCTATCTCTCCTGAGGATGGGTTATTTTGAGCAATGTTAAAATATATTATAAATGCTTTATTTATTTCACTTATTTTATTTTTTTTAATTTTCTAATTAGATTTCATTATTACTGCAGTAGAAGTACACCTTATTTCTCAAAGTAACCCTGATTAGCATTAATAACTGGCAAATTTTATAGACATCAAATTGTAGGAAGGGCATACACCATAGTTCTCAAATGATTTGTATACATAACTAACATTTTTATTCTTTTTTTTTTAAGATTTTTATTGGGGAATTGGGGATGAGAACAGTGCTGGGAAATTGGAGGAAGGGGAACAGACAAGTTGCTGTCCTTTTGTTCTTCAATCTAGATGTTGAGGATGTTGCTTCACTGGCCCAAGTTGGCATCATCATTGCGCTCTTCCCAGGCGAGGCCGATAAGTCGCCGGCGTCTGGACAGCTGCTCACAGCGGCTGCTGGCCGCTCACGCTGGCTGCCAGTTACATACGGTAGCCCATGGCAACCCACTGCCACAGGGGCTGCAGCCCACGCTGTCGCCAGCGACTTCTTAGCTGTAGAGGGCAGTGTCATTGGCCCTCATATGTGGGATCCCAACCGGGCCCTCTGGCATCCCAAGTCAGCTCTTAACCACCAGCCACTCGACCGGCCCTAACATTTTTATTCTTGATAGAACCATAGACAGATCAAAATATAATTATTTAACTTATCAGACTACTGGTTCCTAAATATAGTAGCTGTTTTATTTATTTTTAATTTCCTTCAATGTGCAAATAGACAAAACAGAATTTGAGACCAGACATTTCAGGACAAGACACAGTCTGTTAATTTGTTAACGACTATATATTATGATGGAATTAAATTTCAAAATCAAATTATTGGAGCACAAAATAAGCTATGAATGAGCTTTGTGATTAAAAAAATAAAAACCTAATAAGGCTTTACTTATATTCTATAGAATATTGATTTCACAATATCTTTAATGCTGGGTATACTCATCCCTTCAAAAGATAGCCAGTTCTGCCAGAACTTAAGTGAATGAAAAATTTTATTATTTCATACTTTAATATGTGTAATAAATGTGTGAATGTGTAATAAATGTGTAACATGTAAATTTTCTATTTTTCATATTGCATACTTACCCAGACTCTAATTTTATTGATTAGGCAGTTTTGAAAGATTTTTTGTTTTCCTACTGGAAAATAGTGAGGTTTAGAAATAAGTATTTTCTATGGAACTGATAATCAATCCAAAATAGGACATTTGCCAGAATTAGCCAACAAACTGTCAACTCACCCTCCCCCTTTGCATTTGTGGAGAGTGTAAGCCTTACTTATAATCAATGCAGTTCCTCTCACATTTCAAAATATACTTTTGTAATGGAGTTAATAGGAAAAAAAATGTATAACAAAAAACACTTAAGTGTTATCTAATAGTTCTGAATGCATTTAACACCAATGATTTATGTCTTTATCTTAACATAATAATGCCCAAGGCTTATTCCCAATATTTTGTTTCCTAAAATATTTTTCTCTATTCTAATTTTTGACACATGAAAATCAGCTATAAAATAACTGGAGAAACATACTTGGAAGCAAAATTAAGGATTTATTATTTCATTTCTAATCAGTTATCTACCAAATGCCCACCCAACTTATTCAGATTTTCACGCCATCTTATTTGCTCAGTAGCTTCAAAAATAGACTAGACATGAATTAGAATATTAGTATCTAACAATATGTAGAATTACAAAACATATATCCAGTTTAAGTTGCAATGAATTTAGTTTTACTATCAAGTAGTGATACATTTAAAAATTATAATCAGTCAATTTTTCTGCTAAAATGTTTCTTAATGTGCTAAAACCATATAGCCACCTTTATTTATTACCAATAATAAAACTGAAGTGCTAAACTTATCAAATTCAAATCAATTCAGTGACATACATCTCAGTGAAACGGTGTTTAAGCAACACAAAACATACTAAAAAATTGAAAGGTTCATTGCCTTATAATCAGAAACAGTTAGCTTTAAACTTCAATCAACCAGATGACACATTTGCCATTTCTCAGTTGTGTTCATAGTGGGAAGTTTTCAAGAACGTGTGACATTTCTTAAACTTGTTATCTCATGTACCCTTATTTATGAACCTCATGTTGATATGTTAAACCAAAGGACAGGAAGAAGACAGCCACAGTTCCATTAAAATATATCCATCAGCATTGGCAAATACCCTGCCTGGTGTGAAAGGATCCTTAATTTCCAAAAGGAAATACTTACTATCTCCCATTTCCTCAGTCCTTTTTTTTCCTCTTCCTTCCTTCCTCTATTCCTCCTTCCTTCCCTCCCTACCTTCCTTTCTTCCTTCCTTTCTTCCTTTGTCCAATAGTGCCAACTAACTTGGAACAAGAAGGGATTAATTGCCCTAGTGGAGACATCAGGGGTCATATATTAGAATGAAAAAACAGTGAATAAATAAAATACTGCTATATCCAAATAACTGTGAGACCCACAAATCATTGTTCTCATAAATTAAAGAATGATAATCCTTCAGTAATTTTTTAGCTTTATATGAAATATAAACATATATTTTCAGTAATTTTATAAAACTTCAACCAAAGGAAGGGTGTTGAATTAATGCATTCCGTCAGCTAGTGCTTTCTGCTACATCTTATGTAAGGAAAATAGAAGTATCAATAGGTGTGGAGTGACAAGTTAAGAAAGCAATTGCAGTACAAAAGCTGAGCATTTCTAGTTTAATAAACCAAGCCTCACCTTTCGAAGTGGTCTGACTGGGTCATTTCTATTCTAACCCTGTTTTGATCTTTAATTTGAACGCAGCCAGGTTCAAGTTACAGAGATCATTTCCTTCCAACATTTGATTTTTCTGTCATTTTTACAGGAAAGTAGAAGATTTTTTAGTGTCACTATATGTTCTCTATTCCCTAGCTGTGATAATTTGAGCTACTGTAAGAATCCTGGGAATTTTTAATAATAGTTGAGGTCCCATTAAACTTAGTTCTCAATAGCTTCTTAGAGTTTATTCATCAAATAATTCAGGGTATAAAACTAGCACATAAACATTAATTGAACAGCCATTAAGCAGTATGACTGTTTGTTTTTGGTTGATAGAGGACATAAAGCTTTGTGCCCTGTGGTGGCAAACAATTAGGTCTTATGATGAACATGCCATTAAATGTAGTAATACCAGACTTAGACCAGTTCCGCTTTACAAAGTAGCAGTCAGCTGTCGTCAGAAGATCGCCTGAGTTATAGGAAGTCATATTTTCACTGTCATGGCTTAGCTGCTTATAAATACTGTAGTGTGCCTTATGCCTTATGCTAATGCAATGACTGACTAATGGTTGTCATTATCTTCATTCAGTCTCATAAAAAACTTCCTCAGGAGAGACTGATCGTAGCTAGAATGCTGCTTAAAGTTGAACTGTTTTTCTAAAACACAGAATATAAAAAGCACTTAAGTACAAGAGGTTGGATGGGTAATTTATTTTGTTTTGAGTATGTCTGACAGCTGCTACTTTTGTTAAATTTGCCATGAACCAAATTGATGTCCCATATGGGAATGCCTTATAGACACTTATATGTGTAATTGCATAATGCTTTAAAGTTGCTCTGCCCATCTGGGACTATAGGTGAAGATGTGAGATCCAAAAACCGAAAGCTGGAATACATCGGACACTGACTGTGTGGAGGGTCAAAGATTTTAACAATGGAGGTGAGTCCTCTCATAGAACACAAACCATTTCTGATTTCACTTATGCACTCTGCTTACAAAAAACAGGAACAGAATGTTTCATTATGAACCTGAAAAGAAATGCTTACATGGATGAAGCAGCTCTTTCCACCTCATAGAAACTAACTGGGACATTAATGCCAAACAAGTGAGAAACTTTTAGTTTTATTATACGTTGTAGCTGCATAGCAGTAATGTGTTGATTCTCAAATGCACGTGGTTTTCATGGCTTGTATCACCAGAAGTAAATATTATGAATTTCTGTGTTACAGAGTAAAAACCCAAACTAAAATCAATTCATAAGAAAAATATATTGTGTTGAGAGAATGTGATAAATATTCACACTATTGCTGATAAGAAGGGGAGCAGGGGACGAAAAGTTCCTGAGGAGAATAAATGTCAGCCGCCATACCTGAATGGATCTTTATGGAGCCTCTGCCTAAAGAGTTATTATAGTTGTCTTTTCTAATATCACCTTTGTGTATTGGAGGGAATGTTCAGTTCTCTCAGCAAAAGGGCTGATATATAGTGGGCTTCCAATAAATGTTTGCAGAATTAAATGGGGTGGAATGGAGCAGAATGGAACAGACTATGACCATGATCATTTGTTCCCTCCTAAAATTCTAATTTGGTCTGAAACAAAAGATGGAATAAACGTATGGCTGCATGAGTGGTCAGTGATATTGATGACTCAGAAGAAAAGATTCTGTTTGTTTTTTTATACATACTCCTATTTAAAAAGGACTTAGAGCGTATAAATTACAATATTTATGTTTGTTTCATGAGACAGGAATTGTATAAAATATTTCAGTAAGTTTCTCTTGAAAGCACTTAGAATAATTTTTTTTTAAATGAAAGTTCATTTCCCAGGACTTTATCTTCAGAGAGAACTTAGGAAAGACTTCAGCTAAGTTTTAAATAATACAGAAACACCACACCTCCTTCTATTTTGTCTGAGATGGGCTTGGAAGAAGGCAGCACCATACTTTTTTGCCCATCTTGAATCTGACCCAAACATAACATCTTTCCAAAGAGTCCCACGTAACTGCACATGATAATGCTCCCTTAGAAATTTGCTTTCAGCTAGAAAATATATTGTAGATATGGTGAGCATTTATGCCTGTTGTCCCAGTGTAATCATTAATAGCACCACCTTTCCCTATCAGATGTGACTCCAGTATGGATGACAAATTATGTAACCTTATCTGTAAATAATAATGAAATAATAATAATAAAATAAGCTTTATTGGAAGCTCGCTATTTGTCAGAGACTTTGACATGCTTTCGTGTATAATAAATTCTTCACAATAACTCAATGAGGGAAGTATTTTATTGTCCCCGTTTTACAGTTGAGAAAACAGAGAGAAATTAAATAGCATTGTCCTACTCTCAAAGTGGACAAATCTGAATCCTAACAAAGGTCTGACTCTATAACAACATATGCCAGAAGATGATATACTATCTTCCGATTTGCTGGTCAGTATGATTAACTTGGTCTTATTGAATGCATGCAAAGATTATCAATAGTAATGTGTTATTCTTCCTAGCTGTTATATTTTTTTAAGGACTGTGCATTTTAAGAGGCAGGAAAAGAGCACTGAATTAAATTAAATCAGCTGATTTTTTTACTACTACTTTAATGATAATAGCAATGGTTTATTAAGTGACTAGTTACTCCAGGGACTGTCCTTGGGGTTCCCCTATGTTCTCTCACTGAATCTTAAAACAGCTGTGTAAGTCAGTATAATGGAGCCCCACAAAGGTGTATGAAGTGCTTTTGCTGTGAGCCTTAAATTGGTTCAGAGGTTAAAAACGAAGAATGTGGGATTAAATTATTTCAGCAGGCCTCTCCAATCTCTGACCTTCTATGACTAGATTCAATGACTAGATAATGGGGGTAACCGATTATCAAGATATAAGGCATGGAATCTGGATGCTGAGGAAAAGTCCCGGAGGGCAAAGAAACTTCCCAACACCTCATTTTTTAATCTCTAATTAGTCTTATTATTATTATTATTATTTGTTTCAGGTGTACAAAGCAACATAATAGTTAGACATTTATACCCCTCAGAGTGATAACCCTCCTCCCCCAAGCTACTACCTCATATTTATATTAACTGTCATTCATCGAGTGCTTACCGAGGGCATGTGCTTCACAAACACTTGTCTTTTCTTTTGCTTTTCTCCTCACTGCAGGCCAAAGAACAAGAGGCTTTGGATTGGAACCAACGTAAGTTTAACTGCACTATGCTAGTAATAGCATGCTTCTCTGAAATTGCCTGGGGATTGTCCTGACGGGGGGAATGTAAGGGTGAAGTTCAGGGAATCAATAACGCAGCTAGACTTAGCTAGTTTGCAGTTTGATCCACCCTGATATTCAGCTGTTTTCTCTGTTTCTCCCCTCACTGATTAACTTAAGAGCTCTGTTTTGTTCCCTTTCTCAAGTCTGCCCATACCTCATTAATCCATTTAATTAACAGAACCCTAACCTGAAAAGAACAATTTCTTAATCCTCAGGCGCCCAGACACCTGAATCCATGTGCAACTCCCTTGCAGTTTTTATTGGTGACCCATAAAGCCCCAGGCCGTGGTGGCCGAATGCCAGTCCCGAGATAACATTAGCTTAAAACAGACCAGACCCCAGGAAGCCATGTCAGCCCTCAGACCTGCCTGACCGATTCCCCCTTTCCTTTGTTCTTCTTGTGTATCTATAAAACCTTCTGACCAGCCTAGGAATGGAGAGATGGCCTTTGGACAGGAGTCTGCCATCCTCCCAGAATTCTGGCATTCTGAATAAACCTGCTTTTCTTTCCATCAACCTTGTCTCTCAATTTTTCAAGTGGCAGGCAGCCAGACCTTAGCAAGGTATCACTATGAATAACAGTCACTGGATTAAAATATATGTGGAACATATTAATAAGCTAATTATACAGATTAAAAGAGAAGTTAATTTAGGCTGGGATTGAAAAAGCTGGCTTCATAGAAGAGATGAGATTTGAATGAAAGGTCAGATATGGACAGAAGGTAGGTGAAACAGAGCTTTTTCTTTTCTTTTCCTTTTTCAGCTCAAAATTAAATCTTGCTCTTAAAGTTGTTTTTTTTTTTCTTCTGTGTTTCAGATTCCTAATTAGATTGGCATGGATTAGATAATAAAACTTATAACAATAAATACCTGGAAATGTTTGATTACCTTCTATTTACTCTATGATGTGGCTACACGCAACTCATATTTAAAGCCTTGCTTGAAAGCTTTTATATTATTATAAATTAACATTTATATCTGAAATAGACATTGGATCACAATTAGTAAATTGTGATTAGTAAATTATTGATTAGTAAATTAAGACTGCAAACTGCCAAAGGGCAGGATCTGTGTTTTATTCAAATTTGGTTTCTTAGATTTTTAGCATAGGCATTGGTATCTAGACTATGCATAATACATACTTCTTTGTTGAATTAATGATACATTTGGATTTACTTAGTTTATTCGTGCCACCTGTTTGTGGGGCAAATTCCAGTGGTCTCTGTTTGAAAGATAAAAGCATTTTACCTGTGAAGGTTTGGGTTTGTTAGTTTCTTGACCCAGGACCAATGAGCTGGCAAGACTTTCAACATCATTAATTTATAAGAGTAAGCTTTTAGGCCTGTTCTTTCCCTACAAAAATATTGAAGGGAAAGGAAAAAATAGTGGAAAAGGGAAAAAAAATTGCAAAGGGAGTTCTCCATCCAGGTTTATTTATGTCCAGAACAGCTGGCAAATCCCTCTTCTCAGACCAGTCTCCCCAGAGGAGCAAGCAGGCACCAAACCCGCGGGTGGGAAAACAAGGCTTGCAAGCTTTTCCAATCTCTCTATGTGCTGACCAGCCATTTTGTAGCATGGGGATGTTTTGTTATTGTGTTGGTTTGGATTATTAGCAGAGATTTTTTTAAAGGCACGGCTGTCAAAAAGATCACTAAAACTCTTTGTTTTACTGCATTACCTTTCCCCAGCACCAATCAAGCCAAGCTTCTTTAACGATTTTTTGTTTTTGATGTGGAAAAAATGTTCGGCGATATTCATAGTCCCCTAGTGGAATGTTATTATATAATACTTATGGAAACAGTTTCGGGGGTGGGCAGAGAAATAATAGGAAGAAGAAAGAATGGACCAAAACCAAAACACAGATGGAAAAAAGAGTATAGTGAGCTAATAACAGAAAGCTTTGATTTTATTATGTATGTATGTGTTTTGGAGAATAAAGGGAAATGTAGAATGCATCATCTAGTGTGTAGCTATGGACGTGTATTTATAAGATGTTTTTAGTGGTGAGACGGCTTTGATGATAAAGACAGCTACTTGTGTTGATAGTAGAGAAGGGACAGGTAGGACCCAGAAGAGGGAGCTTGGACAGAGGCAAACAGTACAGAATGCCTGTACACTCAGCCTTGGTGCCACTCTGGGGAAGTCCTGCTTGCTTTTCCCCACTGTTCCTGGTTCAGTTGACAGGGCTCCCCTAATGGGGCTTAAACAAATGGCCCCTCCTCCCTAAAGGACTCATGAATGAACTCCAGAAGTGAGGCGAGTCTGTAAGAGACACATGAAAGTCTTATTTGGATCAAAACCCAAAACTTCCGAGTTGCTAATTGGCATCTTAGTAACTCGACTGGCTGCAAAATAGCCTAAGAACGATGGTTTTGAAAATGTCTGGCGTCTGACTGAAGGCATTTATCTCTTGGCTATCATGAGTGGCTGCACTTTTTCAGCCTCCCCTCTCTCCTCTCCAGCTGCTGTGTGATTACCTCATCCTAGACAAGCCTGATTATCATCAGTGAAACACATCCCCAAAATAAACATGACTACATTATTCTTAATAAGCAGTGATTGAACATGAACATATCTAAAACACTTTTACTTCACACCGAGTTTTATAAAACAGTTGAAAATAAAATGAATTCATGTTTTAAGGCTATTTCAAGAGTGGATCATTTCCTCTATGGCATACATGTTACCTTGAGCCCAACAGCAGTTTTCATCAGCCACAGGCTCATGTGATCTGAGTATGCTCATCTCTTCTCAACTAGGTGTCCAGTGACTTGACTTTAGTAGCTTGTAGTGGATGCTGGGGGGACTGTTTATACCATGGAAATTGACAAATGCTATATCTTAGTCTGCTTAAGCTGTTAAAACAAAATACCACAGGCCACATGGTTTATAAACAACAGAAATTTAGTTCTGACAGATCTGGAGGCTGGAAGTCTGAGGTCAGGCTGCCAGCGCGGTCAGGTGAGAGCTTTCGTCCAGGTGGAAGACATCTCCCTCCATCCTCACATGGTGGAAGTGGCTAGGGAGTCCTGTGAGATTCTCTCTCTTTTTTTTTTTTTTTTTAATTGAGCCATCCTGCCACCTGTTGGCAGCTCAGCAGCAGCTCAGCTCGGGCCAGGAATTGAACCAGTGATCCTGTTGCTCAAAGCTCGCACTCTTGAACGAGCTCTTAACCAACTGTGCCACTCGGCCGGCCCTGGGATCTCTTTTATAAGCGCTCTAATCCCATTCAAGAGGGCACTACCTTCAAGGCCTAATCATCTCCCAAAGTCCCTCCTTCTAACCCATCACACTAGGCATTAGGATTTCAATATGTGAATTTGGGGCAACGCAAATAATCAGGGCATTTTTTTTTTCTCTTTTGCAGAGAACCAGTGAGCCAGTTTACCAGCACACCGCTGCATTACATGCACATTGTACAAGAAGAGGCCGGGGTCTCTGTGGTTGTGTCTCTGGGACTAAGATTATTGCTTTCTGGGTAATTATGTAAGAAGACACTGCTGAAGAAAGACTATATTTTGTTACTGTTAAGCTCATTTCTTTTATTAGCTGTAAATTAACCTCCCTGTGCCTTGGTCTCCCTATCCTTTAAAAGGGAACATAATAATACCTACTTCATAGTATTGTTCTGATGACTAAATGAGTTCATATATGTGATATACTTTTAAAAGTGCCTAGCACAGAGAAGGTGCTCAGTAAGTATTTTCTATTAATGTAACCAGGAGATGAGCCTATATGGTTTTTTTACAGTCTTCTAAAAGACTGCCTAATTTCAGTGTTGTTTTCCTTGTTGAGATTTTATATCTTTCAGAGTCCCATACCCTACTTCCACAGGTTCTGTGAAGAATGGTTACATGAAAGCACATCAAATCACTTTGAAATGCATAAAGCACTATGGAAATGAAAGGTGGAATAATTATGTTAAAGTCATCATCTTGAATTTTGTTTATACTGCATCTTTGAAATGAACATCAGATTTTTCTCTAGGCAGTTACTGCTCCTACAGAAACAAACACAGATGGTGCCCAAACCTCCTACTGAATAGTTTTAGGCAATGGCATTTATCAAAATACCGCAGGTCACTAAATGTACAAAGACTCAAAACAAACCCCACATCTCAGTGTCAGGGCAGCATGGTAATTTAGGCAAATAAGCCTGATTGAGAATTCAAGGATTTTCTGATTTCTAGAAAGTGCAACAGAAAATCTTACATGATTTTCGCGCTTAAATTTTACAAACTAGGATATTGAAATGCAATTTCTTTTAGAGAAAAAAAAGCAGTTTGTCTTCTGATGAGTGTTTTTAACCATATTAAAACTAATTTTGGGGGTGTGCATGCAGACGTTCTCATTTTAGGATGACCTGGCCAAGCAAAACAGAGAAAGAGGGGAAACACATTTTAACGATATTTATCTTACACTTAAACCTCCTAAGAACCCAGTCTTTGGAGTGCAGGGTTACCCCTGTGAGCAAAATAGCCCTGTGAATTCTATAACTTAATGCTCCCTGTTGGGTCTTGGGTCAGTTTGCCGTTGGATCCATTCCTTGTGCTTCCCCTGGCTCAAGGTGAGGGAGGGAGGTTTGGCCCTGAGGCTTCCTTTTCCAGGGAACTTGCAGCTGACTTCTGCCAATGGGGGCTTGGAGGTGGGACAATGGCAGAAGATTTGAGGTTGGGGAGACAGGAGGGGCCAGGGCGTTTCTCTTGACATTCAGCTTGTCTCCTGCACCTACTCAGGCAGCAGCTTTGTCTCTTCCATGCTGCACCTCCCACCACTGAAGCCGGCCACAGCTCCAGTTCTCACCAAGGAACCCAAGGCTCCTGGGTTACACTAGCCCCTCCCGGTACTCCCATCCTCCCAGCCTGGGACTGGTTGTGACTTGTTTCTTTTGCTAAACCAGGTCGCCTCACTTTTCCCCAATTGGCTTCATCTGTCTCTTTCATCACCTGTTTTGTGCTTTAATCAACCCCCTGTATTAGAGTCCTCCATTTAAATATTCCACATGAATCCTGCTTTCCTTGATTGGACCCTGACTGTTCCAAGACCTAACACAGACTACTGAATTCTTAGGCAAGTGACACTGTTGGAAGTGCAGTTTCTCTGTATTCATCCCAGAGATCTCAGAGGATCTCCTGGAGCCTGAACTCCTGCTGTCACTGTTCCCTTTGTAGCCTTTGTCCTCTAGTTGAATGAAGGTTCTACCTTGAGCCTGCTCTGTGCCATGGTCCTAAGATGGAGGCAGAGAAAAACTATTTTTCTTTGTTTCTGTTACAAGACACTCAGCCATTACACTTGATTGTTAGCTAGCCTGGCCCTCTTGTTGAAACCACACCCCTCAAATTCACTGCAGGGAGCTGATTTACAGCTGGTTGTTAGTAACTTTTCTAAAAAGTCACAAAGGATAATAGGGTCCCCAGATTATTTCCACATATGTTACCGATGGATCGGAATATGGATCTGTGAGCTATTAACCATTCCAAAATGCTATTCCTGCTGCTTTCTTTCCAAGGAAGGAAATTTGGGCCACAAAACAGCTCCATATTTTGAAATGGTTTTAGGGCATTGATAATAGTTCTAGAAATATACTCTTAATCCCAAAGTATCAAACTAGGGTTGTACACCCCATGCTTTTGTTAAACTTATTTTGGAATTTGAATGTTGAAACATACATTAATGCAGAGTTTCTAAAAATAATATTTTATAAAGATTTTTCACCTTTTTCCACATACCCCATCCTATTGCATTGCCTATGCTGCTTCTCCTTCCTGAAATGATCGTTTTCCTCTGATTTTCTTTTGTTCTGTTATGAATTCTCAAATAACCATATTTCCAGAAGTGTTCTCTGAACTTTCCTACTCATTGTCTGAGTGACTCCGCTTGTCCTGTTCGTGATCCCATACTGCGTTGTATGAAATACACTGTTCCTTTGTCTCACGTTAGCCTTTGAGCCCAAAAATGAAAGGACTGTGTTTCATCTTTGCACTCCAGTGCTCCGTAACTTCCTTGGCACTTAGGAATCATTCAAAATATATTCTTTGAACTGCGTCTTAACAACACTCTGAAAATTCCAAGGTCTCTCATGCTGGACAAAAATTAGTATTAGGGGGCCAGCTGAGTGGCTCAGTTGGTTAAGAGCGCGAGCTCTGAGCAACAAGGTCGCCAGTTAAATTCCTACATGGGCCAGTGAGCTGCGCCTGAGCTGAGCTACCGCTGAGCTGTCAACAGGTGGCAAGATGACTCAGCTGGTGAGAGCATGCGTGCTTAGCAACAAGGTTTCCGGTTCGGCTCCCGCATGGGATGGTGGGCTGTGCCCCCCACAACTAAGATAAAACACGGCACCTTGAGTTGAGTGGCGACGAGCTGTCGACAGGCAACCAGATGGCTACAGGACTTGGAGCTGAGCTAGCTGCGCCCTCCACAACTAAGATTGAAGGACAACAACTTGGCTGCTCCCCTTCCCCAATTCCCTAACACTGTTCCCCTTCCCCAATTCCCCAATAATTAAAACAAAATAGTATTATGATCATGAAATGAAAGGCTTTTATTGTTTTGGTTTCATTTATTGCATGAGGAATATTTTAGTAACAAACACATTGCAGACACTGGTTACTTCACAAAATGCCTAGTGTTTGTACCTGCATATACAAGTGCTTCTGTTTTGCTGAACAACATTGATAAATAGGGAAACAGGCACACAGAGGAACAGAGGCACTTTAACAAGTTTAGGACAGAGCTTCTCAATCCTTTGCCTTGTTTATGTTGTCTTTCACTACTAGTTGCATCCTCTTTCTATATCTGTCTTCCTAAATTTCAGTGCCCATCTAAATATATCCCCACTGCCTTCACCATCAATTAAGTAAATGCCATGTCTGTAATTCATTTCCCTTGAAAAGAATGAGCTCAACCGTGCTCTGTTTATTCCATTTAGGATGGCTCCTTTTGCACATTTTGGTCCATTGCCTCTGGTGTCGTTTCTCATGCATCTGTTTATTCTACCCAATTAGATTCAGAGCTTTGCAGTCAGAAGTACTTTTTCTATCTCCTCACAGCATGTTCAAAACATAAGCTTGAGAACTAAATATCTTCTGGATTTCACCAATATCTGTGCTAGTATTTTTAGTTTCTTGTCAAATGAACAAATTACTCTGCAGCCAGAACCCTGGGCATTTGGTCATCCACATAGGACACAGCTCTGGGTGGTTTCTTCTTTCCAGTCCAGGGAGTCTGTGGGCTGGGCTGGGCAACCCAGGGACTTCAAGACACCTTTGGCATTTTTCTTTAGGGCCAGGAATATACCTAAGCTACCTCCTGTAAGGGACTCACTACGGCCCTTCTAGTAATTCCCACCCTTGATAATTGGTTCTCTGTCACTGTTCATTTCCTTCATAGCACTTAGGATAATTTGTAGCTATACACATACATATAAAATCTATGTAGAATAAGCACATGAATAAAGAAGTTAAATTTATACAAATATGTAAAATATATAGTAGATATAAAGTCTATGTATATATATATATATATATATATGTGTGTGTGTGTGTGTGTGTGTGTGTGTGTAAGCAATACATGCAAAAAACTCCCACATGTATGAGCGTGCATATGTGCGCATTTTATGTTTTCATTTTCTCTTTCTGTCCACAGGTTTTCTTGACCACAACTTGCTATGACCACTTAACACCCAAGCCTAACACAGAGCGTGGCACATTGTAGGTACTCAGAAATAATTGTTGAATAAATAATATGTGAATGCATGAAGCTATAATAACAAAGAATTATTTCCAATCTTAGTCACATTATCTCAAGTATTACAGTGAAAAAGTGAAAAGAGAAGTAGAAGCATAGAAAAAGAAAGGAGTCGATGTGCTCTACAATCCAAAATTTCACAGATTTATAACCTGTCTCCTCCCAAAAAGAGGCTCACAAAGTTCTCTGTTTTTGCCTGGAAAGGGGAAAGAGGAAGACAAGCGTCGCTGCTGTCCATTGCTGGCGCTACCCACTAATAAACACTAGAGATAGTTTAGCAAAAAGTTAATGATTTCCAAAATATGAATTGGACATTCCTACATTTTCTGTTCTAGCCTTCTGTTTTCTCTCTAGAGCACAAGCCTACTATCTTTAGAAGATATCCATAGTATGTACACTCTTTTAGCCTACATAAAAATTCTGATCACTAAAAAGAAAGAGTGGGACTTAATTACAGGAGGGAGCAGTAGAGTGTAGTGGTTGGCAGGTACTGTGAGCTGGGCTGCCTGGCTTCAACTCTTGGCTCCACTGCTTTCTAACTGTGAGATTGTAGGCAACGTATGTAACCTTGTTTTATTTCTGTATCCTCATTGGTAAAGTGGAGACAATACTAGCACCTAACTCATAGAGCTTCTTATGGGGTTAAATAAGTTAGAACTTGTAAAGCCCTTAGAATAGTGCCTGGCACATAGTAAACACTCAGTAAATGTTCAATAATCATATCCTTATTCTTTGTATTACCATTGTTGCTGATATCGTCGAATTAAGGCAGGTTTACTTCTAATACAGAATGGATAAATTCCCATTCTACAGACAGAGAATGCACACATAAGTAATAGTAAATATACTATATTTAATTATATACTAAATTATATACTAATATAAATAGTAAAAAAGGAAATATAGCTGTTGAAACGCATGGTAGAAGGTTAGAACTCTAAGATTTTATGTCCTGTTGATAGTTTTTCTTTAATCCTTACTCCTGATAGAAAATGTTATTTCATACACCTTTTAAATACTTAATGATAATGATTACTCGTATTTCATCTCCCATGGTCTAAAAGATTTAGAGAACAGCTGAAGCAATCTACTTTTTAATAACCCCAGCCTTGTTAAGGAATCATAACAAATTTAATTTGATGACTGTCAAACCTGTTCATTCAAAAGCTATTCATATTCCCCAGAGCTGCTTGAATTCCTTTACTTCATCAAGAAAGACATTAAATTTTCCGTACATAATACAATAACACCTTTAGCCCTTAAAAAAAGAAAGGGGGGGAAAAAACCTTCCCCACCTAACTGCACCCCTCCCTGCTTATTTGTTCTTTATGAACATATTTATGTATTTCATTTGACAAATATTTAGTTTCTATCATGTGCCAGGCATTACCTTAGAAGCTAGATTAACAACAACAAAAAGCAATAAAACAACAAAAGGCAGTGAATAAGACAAAGTCTCTGTTTTCCCTAAAACCTGGAGTCTAGAGAGGGTTTGAAGCAATAAACAAAAACATAACATCTCAATTACGAATTGAGATCATTATTATGCCAGCAATAAATGGAAAGCTTGAGACAGAGTAATAAGAATGGGTGGTAGGGAGGGTGAGG